GAGCCGGGCAAAGGCGGCGCTTCCTCGGATTTATCTTTAGTGGCGCGTCAGCTGATAAATACCAGATGCCTACGGATTTTCAAGATGACCTTTTCGATAGTTAATTTGAATTTTAAATTTTAATTAGCTGTAATCCCATCAAAAGTGAACTCCTTTGGAGGGGAAAAAAAAAAGTGTAGAAATCCTTGGCTGTCGGAGCACGCTTTGCGCCGGGCGTGCTATGGCCCATCCGCAGTTCCCACTGGAGCACCCAGGGTGAAATCTGGGCACCGCTCAAATCTGTGGCAGAACTCCCACTGCCTTCCCTGGAGCCCAGGACTTCTCCCTGACGCTGCTGGAAGTTGGACTTGGGCCGATAGGGAATTAATATCCCTGTTGTGAATTGTCCTGAGAGTCCACAGGCTATAAACACATGTAACACTAGGGATCAGAGGTAAAGATGGCCTCAGTTCTGCAGCCTGTGTTGACTGGGGATCAATTCATACATATATTCATATATATATATGTTGCACTGCTTTAAAACAGAAGGGTTTTGTTTTATGATACTGCCAGGTTATGGCAAGTAGAGAGGGGAACCAACTGCCTAAGGTCATTTCAGAGCTCTACTGCAACCACCCTGAGTGTTTTTGGTTGGGAATTTGGTCTGTACCTTAGCTTCCAACACGTAAAGCAGAGTAAGTCCTTTCTTTTCCTCGCTTTAGGCTGCCTTGTCCAGGTTACAGTATCTTCAGGGCAGGAACGTCACTGTCTATACCTAACTCTTCCCATGGGCAATGGTGGCATCAGTATCTCAAAACATCAGTTTTATTGACTGAAATATTTGTTTCTAATTCAATCCATTTCTTTGGTATTTTAGCTTTAGGCACTTTTCCTGGCAGTCCAGGTCTATATTCCTGGCAGCTGTTTTTCTCTTACAGACCAAATTCACCTTGACTCTTTAATGGAATTGGCACCAATAGCCAAGACAATTGGGTGGTTTTTGAGCATGAATGACTGCATCATTCTAACACCCTTCTCTGGTGTTTGGTAATACTATTCTCTGTGCTGTTAAACTGGGGAACTTAGCCATAGAGCATGGAGGTGCCTTGCTCCAACAAGAGAATTAAAGATCCTGGAGTAAAATTCGTTGCTCTTTAGTAAAGCCAAGAGCTTTATATTTTTGTTCACGATCACAGACACACTCTGGGAATGGGAACCCTGGGAAGTGCTTTTAAAGACAGTTTGATCCAGTAGTCCCAATCTGATAATGCAAGTTCTTCTGAAAGTTAAATGTTTTCTTCCCAAAAATGCACATGTGATCTCCCTGAAGTTATTCTGTGTGGATGTGTTTCCTCACAGAGTTTCTCTGCCTTTGTGCACTGGCAGGGTGGTTTAGTCCCTTGTATTTATAGGGATTAAGAAGTTTGGCATAAATCCCTTATTTTGTGTAAATCACTGTTCATTTTTCCCCCTCTTTGCTTTAATAATACAGAGAAGAAAAAATAATAAAAAAGAAGCAGTGATTTAATTCCTGTTTGGTTTCTAAGTGCTAGGAATAATTTCCTATGATCTAACTATTTTATTTTTAGCAAACCAACCGATCGCAATTTTACAGTAACTCTAGAGCTGTTACTGCATAGAAACGCTGTATAATCTCGTCCCAGGGTAGCGACAGGTACAATACAGGTGCTGTACAGATTTGAGCATGGTTGTGTAAAATGCTGGGAGCGCGACTCCAATGTAAACAAGTCCTTGGCGATGGCTCGAGGCTGGCAGCAGGAAGCGCTGCCCCAGAAACCTTCCTTGCCTTCCTCAAGGCCTTCATGGCCACACGGCCCAACGTCCTCCACCCTCGGAGCTTGCGTGGTCTGCAGTGTCCCCTGGCCCAACGTGGACAAGGAGGCTGCGTTAGGAGGCCTTCCCTGTGCCCGCGCCGCTGACGTGGTGCCACTATGTGAGCCAGGAACAGGAGAGAAAATTCTGGAGCCGCTGGTTCTCGTGTGTTGGTGGGCTCAGTTGCTGGGCCAAAGCCCTCCTAGATGGCTGAGGAGCAAGGGGAGCAGATCGAGGCAACAACTTGGCGGTGGTGGCAGGGCTTCTATTCGCCGAGCAAGGCTAGCCAGGGTCCAGGTTAGTTGCGCTGCCTGGGCACTAGCCAAAACCCACAGAAATTAGTACAAAAAACAACTGGATTGGGCCCATAGAGCCCGAGGCTTTGCTTCCCTCCTTACCCCTTTGATCCTCCACGGGTATATATGTTTACCAAGGGGGGACTCTCTAGCCCTCCTTGTTGGCCAAATACAGAAGTGGTAGCAACAGGTTTTTCATGTGATTTAATCACTTTTTTTTTTTCCCCTCACATCATTGGTAGGAGCCTCTTTGTGTTTGCTCCTATGTGATTTCAGTGCTTTCCTATGTGATTTCAGTGCCTTTTTCTATTTGATATGGTTTCTTCTCTGGGGTAGTCAGGTCACATTTCAGAGGGAGAGGCAGGGACTGAGATGGTTTATGGCCTGTGTGTATTGGTCCTAGCAAGGTTTATTTGCAGAAATTCTTCCAGAGTTTCTCAAAGGCTCATTTCTCCCATGCAGAGCGCAGCATACATTGGAAGGATTGAATGCTTTGCTCCTCCCTCTGAAACGGGGAGGAATTTAACACCAAAGGACACAGAACCCTGTGGTGTCAAGTGAAGGAGCCGCCACCAGCATCCATAGAGGTATCCCAGTTTGAAGTCTATTCCAGTACTTGCACTCTGGTCACATCTGAGGTCAGCGCTGAGGGCACCGCTCAGCTTGCAGTCAAACCATAAAGCATGGGCATGACCTTCCAGAGATCCCTTGCAAGCACATCATACAAGGCTCAAGAAGGCATTAACTGGCACCACTGCAATTCCATGCGTTAATCAGAGCACTATACTGCAACTATCCTCTTAAGCAGTGTGTTTAGGAGAGTGATATTGTTTTTTATGACTGACTTGGTGATTTCCCCTTGATCACAGGACCCTACATGCACTGGACTATGTGTTAGCACACACTATGTCAGCCAGGATCTTACATCTCCATGTTGTCAAATCATCCTATTGCTATCAAATTGATAGACTCGTTGTATATAAATTACCTATTTTCTTGTTGTATTTTCTCTAACATGGCTATCAGTAAGGGCACATCAATCTAGAGGCTTATGCTCAGGGCACAAAGGATGATGGAGAGGTACCTCCAGTGTAGGTCATGTTTTGCTACAAAACAGTGTCTAGCAATATCCACACCCGAACCAGTCAGGCATTAGCATCACATCTGTACTATATCTCTCTTGCCAAACATTGGAAGACAGAGTGCTCTTAGTCATAGTTCATAGTTTCACTCTCCACTTACCTAACCCTCAGCTTCTGGCTGTTTTGGTTACATGCAATCTGCTGTGCTTTGGATCCCTATAAATTGTAAATTAAGGTACTTTTTTCAGCCTTTAGAGATCTGTATTCTTTTCCCTAAAGGGAACACAGTCGGCTTATAGCGGTAAAGGAA